CATAGTGTTTTGACCCCAGTTTAACGGTTAACTTTTTACCCATAGCTGGGATCCCCTAACAAGTTCTACTACCCCGGGTCAGGGTAGACCTGGGAACACCAGCAATTAAGAGGTGGTTCCACGTTTCTCAAAATCACCTGATCAGAGGCCTTGCTGTTGGACGTAGCTTATCGTCATACCCAGGACGCGGATGTAGTTTATTACCATAGCCATGACCGTTTTTTGTGTGTGTGTGTTTGTTTGTGTGTTCTTACAGACTACTAAAAGCGACCCCACCCCGTTGAACTGTACCTAGCGTCACAGCAGGAAGGTTTCCTCGTGTTTATACGAGTATTCATTTCCTTCCTCTTATTAAAAATAAAAGTAAACCCAAGTAACATATTGCCCATCTGTATCTAATGAAGAAACAAGAAACAGGTTATGTTAATATATTAACGTTTATTTATACCATCATCAGAAATCTGTTTTCCTGTCAGCATAAAATTGGTAAGAGCCATAAAAATGTTACTGTCAAATTTCTGTCTGAGGATCAAAAGATCGAAGAGATGTAACGAGAGGCGAGAGAAGGCACATCAATTAATTTTCCTTTATTGCTAAATTTCACCCAATATAAGTCACGAAGGTTAAACAAGGTAGAAGGTGACAGTCAACATTGTAAAGCTGAATGACGTACACGATATGAAATGAAATGGAAACGAAGACTATAAGAATAATGAGGAAAGATATCGGCTAATCGTTCACTTAAGGAGATCAAGACTGAACCACCCACGTGGGAGTCTGTTCCAAAAATGTCAGTTCTTGAGAAAGAGATTTGAGACAGGAACTTTCTCCAAGGAACACGGGGGTAATTAGAGTGATTCGGCTTTGGAGAAGCCGTTTGGCGTGTACAGGTTTTAAGATGCGAAGTGGAGGAAGGGAAGAATGGGGCGCTCAATTGAATATTTATCATGTAAGCAGCAGACACAACAGACGTGCAAAACAGGGAGACTTATCGAGAGTGCAATCGTTCATCACGATTGGAGTCAATATGCAGTCTGTCAGGTGAGGACGAGATTTCCGTGAGTGCAATTGTTCATCACGATTGGAGACAATATTCAGTCTGTCAGGTGAGGACGAGATTTCCGTGAGTGCAATCGTTCATCACGATTGGAGACAATATTCAGTCTGTCAGGTGAGGACGAGATTTCCGTGAGTGCAATCGTTCATCACGATTGGAGACAATATTCAGTCTGTCAGGTGAGGACGAGATTTCCGTGAGTGCAATCGTTCATCACGATTGGAGACAATATTCAGTCTGTCAGGTGAGGACGAGATTTCCCTGAGTGCAATCGTTCATCACGATTGGAGACAATATACAGTCTGTCAGGTGAGGACGAGATTTCCGTGAGTGCAATCGTTCATCACGATTGGAGACAATATTCAGTCTGTCAGGTGAGGACGAGATTTCCCTGAGTGCAATCGTTCATCACGATTGGAGACAACTTGCAGGCTGTCAGTTGAGGACGAGATTTCCGTGGGTGCAATCGTTTATCACGATTGGAGACAATATGCAGTCTGACAGGTGAGGACGAGATTTCCCTGAGTGCAATCGTTCATCACGATTGGAGACAACTCGCAGGCTGTCAGTTGAGGACGAGATTTCCGTGGGTGCAATCGTTTATCACGATTGGAGACAATATGCAGTCTGACAGGTGAGGACGAGATTTCCGTGAGTGCAATCGTTCATCACAATTGGAGACAATTTTCAGTTTGCCAGTTGACGATGAGACATACGAGAGTGCAATCGTTCATCACAACTGGAGACAATTCGCAGGCTTTCAGGTGAGGACGAGATATTCGAGAGAGCATCTAATATAAATAATTATAATAATATTTAGTCAAACATTGACGTTCGTGCTCGTAAAAAATCACTGTGTCAAAAGAACGGTTTATTCCCATGAGACACCTAGTATTTTGAAATACCACTCGGCAATGGTTCTTGTTTTAAAAAGCACTGATTAGAATTGTCATAAAACCTAAACATATGATAAAAGTGAATTTATACATTTTTTATATTCTTGAGAATTGACAATAAAAATATTAAACATTATTTATTCATTAGATTCTTTTTTTACATGAATAATTTTATATTTAGATCATTCTATAACTTAATACAATTAAAACTAATGCAATGCAATATTTAACTTTTAGCATTTTATAAAGAAATAAATATGAAATCATTTTTTTATTCTTAAATTTATAAACGTTTAGAAAATTATTGAAATACGTGAACCAATTATAAGGGAATCTTTATTGTTTAGCATTTTATAAAGTTCGAATCAATTTGGCCGATATTTTGCCAACCATTCCAATAATCAATCTAATAAATAAATTGAGTTTATTATTGTTTATAAAATGTATAAATTCACTTTTCATATGCTTAGGTTTTATTAAAATTCTAATTGCTTTTTAGTAAAAAAAAAAAAAGAAAGAAAAAAGACATTGTCGAAAAATTAAGGTACATAAATTAAAAGCGGTGTTATATGAAAAACCGTCCCTTTTGTCACTCCGTGTTTTATTTTCATTTTTTTTTTTTTTTTTTGGCGAGCACAAATGCTCATGTTTTCCAGTATTTCTTAAAATTATAAATCGTAGTTTTTTTAATTTTTAACTATTGCTAAGATAAGGATTATTCACTTTTAAAAATTCTTTTTCCCCCATTTGTTTGTAAATAGTTAAATTAGTAAGTCGTCAATATAGCAACGATTTACACGAGATTTTAGAAAAATAATCTATATATTCAAGCAATTGCATATAGAGGTACGGTGGGGTAATGGACAGCGGCTCGGATTGTGGAATGGGAGAGGCGAGTTCGAATTCCACTTGAATTCACTTACGGGCTAATAATGTATATGTATACGTTGCTTAAAATTTGCTATATTTACGGGGCAAGAGAGCTGAAATCGATGTTTATATATAAGTGTCAACGTAAGCGATCTTCTGTGAACTATATATATACTAGCAGCATGGCCCGGCGTTGCCCGTGCTTGATTCAAAAATCGTACGACTCATACAGCTATCACTTGACATAAAATATTTTTGCCCTTCCTTGCCTTTAAAGAAGTGCCCTTTTCCGTGCTGATGTTGCTACATGCCTTACTTCTTGCCTATCTCACACTGCGAATTGTTTCTAAGCTCTATACTAAACATTAAATCTGTTACGAAAAAAGAACTAAACAAAATGAACACAAAACGATCAGCTTTAAAAAAGGATTCGTAACTGGAAAAACCGAATGAAAAAAGAATGTTAACAACAAATACTTTTTCACACCCAACCCAGTTCTGCGGAATCAGAATCAACGTTGAGTTTAAGCAAGCGAATGAGCCAATTGGAGTAAAGTGACATGCAGATTTAAATTTTTCCCACTTGTGACGAATGGAGCCATCGATTTATTTGCATGCTAGCATGCTAGTTAACATTCGTGTCAGTCAGCTGCTGGCTCTCACGCTGGCCAATAGCATCTTCCTGCCTATTCGTGGCAGCCAGCTATAGGCTCTCACTCTGGCCAGTAGAAAATGGCCGCAAACTACATGAAAACTGCCGTAGAAGCATGAAAAAAAATCGATTATTTCCACTATTGATGGGAGTTGGGAAATGCGAAATGCCTTCCCGCTAACTTGGAGCATGTGCATGTAAATTTTGGTGCAAATCCGTCAAAAATAGCGGCCGTGCATTCGTTATACACACATACACACATCCTGGCTTTTCTATATATATATATATATATATATATAAATGAATTACTTAATATAATTATCAAATCCTACTAATAATTTCTATCTGTGTATATCATTGCTTGAACCGGCTTCTAATGCTCCAGTGTGAGCGGCTTGGTTAGAGTTGTCGTGGCTCCTGGGGGGCACAGTCCTATGGTCACAGAGAACTCACCAAGGAATATGTGAGCGAGCGGCGCTATATTGAGTCCGATTTGCAATCTCTTCGAGGTCCGGTGAAACAGTTGGTATGATGTTTGCTTGACAACCTAACTGTCAGGGTTTCAATTCTCGGTAGTGGATGCGCACTGCTGATGAGTCCCAAATATAGGACGAAACGGCCGTCCAGTGCTTTCTGCATTCTGTTGAGGTTTCTTTCAGACTCAATGAATTACTTATATATATATATATATGTAGGTCACTGGGGGTTATGGGAATTGATGAAAGAGGAAACCTTTTATTTAGGGCTTCTATTAGGACCCGGTGGCGTAATGGATAACAACATGGATAGAGGAATCAGAGAGCCGAGTTCAAATCTATTACATTCACTTACGTGCTATTATCTTTGGGAAAGGTATGAATCCTCTTCTTCTCCCCTCAGCTATGGGTAAATAGCAGGACTGACCGGGTTCTATAGCCTTGGATGGCAACTGGTCTACAGCAGAAATGGCAACCTACTGCGGGAAAAATCTGCCTCGTCAGTCATGTATCGAAAGATACATGATCGCCTAAGCGTGTATCATGCATGGCACATAACTGAATTACATATATAAATTTTTTTTTTTTTTTTTTTTGAGAAGCCACATTTTTGGTAGATACCGCATTAACTTTCGGTTCGAATCATCGGCATTTTTCAGATCATGTCTTCGAGATTATTTCTCTAAGCGTCTGTAGATGTTGTTTTTGTTATTCTGAAGTTGTTTTTATTCTTTCCATCTCTCAAAATAGATTTATGTTCCTCCCGTCATTTTTCTTCCTCGCCTCTCCACCACCACCACCTTCTCACTCCCCCTCTCTTTATCTCCCTCTCTCTCTCTCTCTCTCTCTCTCTTACCGATTTTCTTTTACCCATCCTCCTTTTCCTTTCTTCGAAAGACATCACGTGACCGTGCGACCCTTTCCAGCTGTGCCCAGGATTTAAGCAGACGAAAAACCAATCTTTGATCTGCGGGACGATCGTCAAAGGAGATTTGAGAGTCTGCGTTTCATTCAACAGATACCCGCGTGAGAGAACAAAGCGAAAACAA